GTGCTTTTCCTTTTCTGCCCTTCTGCCTGCTTTGGCGACTTCCAGCCAGGGCGGGATCATTAGAGGGCATCCCTCTGCCTCTGCTTTGATCTCGGTAAGCTTTCCCCTTGTCAGGGCCATCTATTTCTATAACTTAAATCAGTGGTTCTCAAAGTGTGATCCTAGAGGTGGCGGTAGCAGCAGCACCACCTGCAAACTACACAGAGATGCAAATTCTCAGGCCCTAACCTGGACCTACAGAATCAGAACTTCTGGAGTGGGCCCAGAAATCTGTGTTTTAAGAAGCCCTCTGGTGTTTCTGATGCAAGCGAAAGTTTTTGAGCCACTGGATAAAATGATCATTTCCATGCTGTTGCCACGCATATCTTTATGGCGACCCCTGAATTCATACCCAAACGTCTCTCTAGAATTTCAAGGAGGGGTAGTTTGGGCAATGTCAATATATGAGAGGGGAAAAGACTGTATGGTCAAAAAGAGTTTATATAGTATTGCGACATTTCTTAAAAGTATTTGAGTGGCTGGGCGCGGTGGCTCATGCCTATAACCCCAACATTTTGGGAAGCTAAGGAGGGCAGATTGCTTGAGCCTAGGAGCTTGAGGCCAGCCTGGGCAACGTGGCGAAACCTCATCTCTACACAAAATTCAAAAATTATCCAGGTGTGGTGGTGTGCACCTGTAGTCCCAGCTACTCAGGAAGCTGAGGTGAGAGGATCACTTGAGTCCAGGAGGTTGAGGCTGCAGTGAGCCGTGATCGGGCCACTGCACTGCAACCTGGATGACAGAGTGAGACCCTGTCTCAACAACACCAAAAAAAAAAAAAAAAAAAGAGTATTTGACCATCGAGACCTGTTTGCAGGAGCCTGTGGAAAGTGCAACAACAGAACCTTTCCAGCTGGGTGGCTTCTTTGGAACCGCAAAGTACAGTACTCCCCCTTATCCGTAGTTTTACTTTCTGAGGGTTCAGTTACCTGTGGTCAACCATGGTCCAAAAATATTAAATGGAAAATTCTAGAAATAAACAGTTGTTAGGTTTTCAGTTGAGCATGCCCTGAGTAGTGTGATGAAATCTTATGCCATCCTGCTCTGTCCCACCTGGGAAATAAACCAGCATCACCTGGGAATTTGATAGAAATACAGATTCTTGGGCCCCACCCCAGACCTACTAAATCCAAAACTCTCTGGGAAAAGCCCAGCAATCTGTGTCTTAATACGCCCTCCAGGTGATTCTGGTGCAGGCTGAAGTTTGAGAACCACTGGCCCAGAGAATTAGCATGGGGAATAAAAAGTCTTTTAGCCCTTAATACACAGGTGTGCACTATTTCAAACGTGTGCGGTGTTTTCCTAAGAAGGCAGACAGTCGAGTCAGCCTCTCTCCCCTCCTCTAGCATACACCAGCAAGGGACAGGTTGAGTGATCACCACGGAGCATTTCTGTGGAGCCTGTGCATGCCCCGTGTGCTCAGAAGAGAAAACACTGATTTTGAAGGCTCCTCACAGAAGACTAGGAGCTCTGTAATAGAGTTTGGAATCCTTAGAAAGTGGGCTCATAATTAAATATTGCATCCCATCTATGTTTAAATAATGCCACTTTTAAAATACTAAACGTAGGCTGCGCATGGTGGCTCACGCCTGCCTGTAATCCCAATACCCTGGAAGGCTGAGGTGGGAGGATCAGTTGAGGCCAGGAGTTGGAGACCAGCCTGGGCAACAAGTAAGACCCCATCTGTAAAAATAAAAAATAAAAAAGTTAGCTAGTGTGATGATGATGTGTGCCTGTAGTCCCAGCTACGTGGGAGATTGAGGTGGGAAGATTGCTTGAGCCCAGCAGGTCAAGGCTGAAGTGAGCTATGATCAAGCCACCACACTCCAGCCTGGGTGTCAGAGGGAGACCCTGTCTCTAAAACAAAACAAAACACAAAACGCTAGACCTGTGCAACCACTGAAATTTGCTGCCATATACTGGTAAATGTCATTATGACATGAGTAGAAAGGGTCAGGAGAGGGCGTGTTTGAATTTTAAACACCATTAGCACGTTGCCTGTGTGTCTCTTTGAGAACCTGGCACAGGGAACTCTTGGATCCTAGCGGATGTTGTGCAATAGCTCTTTGAACCTTTCCTTCAGAAGTGGAAATGTCTCACATAAAAAAGAGAAGGAATATCCAGACAGATAGTACAAACCTGATGTTCTGCACTTCCATCTGATCTAAATGGTGAATCCATGTTAGTCTGGAAGACACAATACACATTTCAAACAGAGAATGCCGGTAGAAAGTTGTTTGATTTTGACATCGTCACATGGACTAATTTTTCTAGTGTATTTTGTTATACTCGTCACACTTAGCAGTTTCTTGGTAAATGTTTGCCATGGGAATGAATGAAATACAAACCCTCTCCCAAGACTGGCAGCTCACCTAACAAAAGTGGTTCCGCCTGCAGAAGGGAAAGGGGGCTCACAGAGAAGTGGCTGGAATGCCAGCACGGGGCTCTGTTGGGGTGGAAGGCGTGGCTGGCCCACAGCCTCCATGATTCCCACCCTGGGTCAGGTGGGTAGGGAGCCCAGGACTGGAAACCAGAGCTCAGCGATTCTCCTGCTCCAGTGATTCGCTGACTTGGCCCCTGCTTTTCATAGCCAGTTGTCAGTGTAAGAATAGGCCACTCTCTGCTGGTGTAGAGAAAAACTTTAGATCTTAGAACAACTTTTTAAGCATTTTCCACCATGACCCTCAGCTAGAATACATTTTATTTTGTGAACCAGGAAAGATACCAACCAAAACATAATTGAAACACAAGTTTCACAGCACAAGTTACCTTACTACATGTAATGTACAATGGACTCTATTCTTGTCCATGCTGTTCCATTTTCTTTGTTTCACAAAGAAAAATGTGACACACTCACTGATTCACAGTCCACTAGTGGGTTGAGACCACACAAGAATCCTGTGGAAAGAAATGGCCCTCAGGCCCTCCATCTCAGGGACCACCTGGAAAAGGAAGGGCGATCCTCCCCATGCCCACACCTGGAAACATGCTTAAGTCCCAACAAAGTGTCATGTAAATCCTTGTTTTCTAGAGTCTGAATAAGAAAGCTCAAAGGAGAGGTCTTTGCTTCTACTTTAGAATATTATACATGAGCCAGGTGTGGTGGCTTGTGCCTGTAATCCCAGCACTTTGGGAGGCTGAGGTAGGAGGTTCCTTGAGGCCAGGAGTTTGAGATCAGCCTGGGCAACACAGCAAGACCTCATCTTTACAAAAAATTAAAAAATTAGCCAGTCATGGTGGTGCGTGCCTGTAGTCCTGTCTACCAGGGAGGCTGAGGTGGCAGGATGGTTCGAACCTAGGAATTTAAGCTTACAGTGAGCTATGATTGTGCCACTGCACTCCAGCTGGGGCCACAGGATGAGATCCTGACTCTAAAAAAATAAAATATTATATACATCTCAATAAGGTTCTTTGCTATGATCTTCCCTAGAGAGGTGGCCACTCTTGACTGCTCCAGAGAGGAGCTCCCATGAGCAGGACTGCGGCAGCTGCTGTACTCAGTGCTACCAAGCAGAGAGGTACAGAGGCCCAAGGCTGGCACCTCCACTGTCAGAAACCCTCCATCAGAGCTCCCCAAAGTATTCCTCACTCCATGAGATTTTACTAAGTGTTCTTAGGGAGGGAAGATGGGGAGTTGGCTCTGTGATAAAATAAGTCAAGGAAATGTTGGTTGAGACGACTTCTCAGAGGCTCTGACATGCTATGTTATGTGTGTTAAATGTTGAGGGTGTGGCGGGGGGAACACAATGTGTTATTTTCCTGCCATATTTAACCCCAGAACCATTTTTTCCAATAATCCCTGCAAATCTGCAGAACACAGTTTAGGGAATGCTACCTTAAGTGACTACAATCTGCTTCTTCCACTAGCTGGGAGAAAAAGCAAATGAGAGACTTCATGCCTCCGCAAATTGTGGATGGGGCTGAGGACTAAGCTAGGGCTTTGGCTAAGAAAATGAGAACGCAACAGAACTTTGCATGTTTGGCATACCCTTGCTATTTATGTATTTGTCTTTTGTAGTTTTAACTATTCAAAAGAGACTATGGTGGCCTGTGGTGTGAAGTAATTTAGACACTGACCGAGGCCACCAAAACTGTTTTGTGGGCTGTGAAGCAGAGACATGAAGTCAGTGAATCAATGGAGCTGTCTCTCCAGCCCCCAAGTCTCAATGTTACTTTATGTCTGTTTGTCATTATAACTCTGAAGTTATAGCATTTGTCGCTCTTCTGGTGTTTATAGATTTGAAGATTCATGAAGGTCTCAGGACAAATTTCTCATAAAAATCAAGATTCTATTGTAATTTAGGTTTGAATTTATTAATCTGAAAGCCCCCAAAAAGGCCCCAAGTACAACTGTGAAAGTTGTACCCTGCCCACATTTGGGGGGTGCCATTCATACAGAAGGGGCGTGAGAGAAGCCCTCTGGAGCTGAGTGACAGCAGCAGCCCTCTAAAAATATTTGTGTTTTAAACCGTAAAAAACAAAACAAAGTTACAGAGTTGTTGATCAGAATGTCCAGCAAGTTCTCTTTCACTCTTGAGTGAATCCATTGACTGGCGTTTTTCAGTAAGGACAGCATCTCGGCGTGGGAGTGGGTGAGCATCTTAAACACTAGATTCAGACTTTGGCTCACCTGTTCCTGTTCGGGCAATCCCAGACTCACTTCCATCACTAGTAAAACAGGAATGTTGACGACAACACTCACCCCACGAAGCTGAGGTGAGATAAAACATATATATATTGTTTGAGATGGAGTCTCGCACTGTCACTCAGGTTGTGGTGCAGTGGCGTGATCTCGGCTCACTGCAATCTCCACCTCCTGTCCTTCAATCAGTTCTCCTGCCTCAGCCTTCAGCGTAGCTGGGCCTATAGGTGTGCACCACCATGCCCAGCTAATTTTTTTGTATTTTTAGTAGAGACGAGGTTTCACCATGTTGGCCAGGATGGTCTCGATCTAATGACCTCATGATCCACCCGCCTCGGCCTCCCAAAGTGCTGGCATTACAGGCGTGAGCCACTGTGCCCGGCCGAGATAAAGCATATTAAATAGCTCTTTACAAATGTCATTTGTAGTCACTGGAGAAAGCCACATCCTGCTGAGCTCTGCTCTCAAATGTTGATGCCCAAAATTTGCTACCCCATGGCCAGTGGCACTGGGAAAATCCATGGGCAGTCAGTCTCAAGGAGAAGTGGGTTGCAACACAGTTGCTGAGTACTTCTAAAAGAGGGTATTCTTGTGCCTAAACTTTATGATTTGCTGTGATCTGGAGAGAGATGGGATCCCTGAATACTGGAGTCTACCCAGAATTCCTTTTACTTCTAAAAGTTTTTGCAGCCATATACAGGTATTAAATAATTTCTTGGATCAAACTGTCATTATCCTGGTTCCTTGTAGATGCACTGTTACATTGACATCCAAAATATAAAAGCAAAATATGCTCCTGATCTCAGAGGTGGCAGTTTTGGGGCAGCATCCCTCTGTATCACTTAACTGTAAAATGAACAGTCATCTTTCTAAAGAGTAGGAGAATAAGGACTTCACTGAACCAGCACACAGAGGACACTTTGAGATGTGGGATTTCATGATGGTAAAATGGACATCCCTTAGGAGGTACGTGGGAAGGAAACTAGAAAGGTTGGCACAGTTACATGTCATACGCTGGTTAAATAAATCCTACAGTCTGTCTCTTAACCAACTGGCACAACTGCAACCCCTTTCCATTCTTCCTATCAGCATCTGTTCCTCACTTTCAGTCTTTACTTCTCTACACACCTGTTTCCGCCGAAGTCTTAGAACTACGGGTAGAGCCTGGCTTGGCCGTGCTGGTTACCCCATCATCTTCAGGTTAGCGCTTGTCTCCGTGTAGCCCGCCGTGTCTCCTCCAGTGTCCCCTGCAACTTCGCCGGCAGTGTCCCTGCTTCTGTGGAAGCCTCTCGGCCTGGACTGCTTTGCGAGCAGCAGTTTACAGGCCGCTGCTCTGTACTTCTTTGAAATGAGGTTGTAGAGGATTGGGTTGATAGATGCGCTCAGATAGAAAAGTTGCAGAGCGACGATGTTAAAGTACTGAGAGAAGTACATCATCCGCGAATCTTTCGTGTTTATGTAAATGATTCTGCCAACGTGGAAAGGCAACCAGCAAACTATAAATGCCAGAACCACCACCACTGCAACATAAGACACAGCACCGGGATTAACAAAAGCATTGGGCTGCAAATAAGGGTGCCCCCCTCCCCCCGCCCCAAGGAACCGTCTGCAATAATAAGTAACAGCCAAATAAGAAAAAACTTCTGCCTAGCCAGATCTTCACCCCAGATCAAACGACCAGGTTGTAGGCTGCATGGATATTTGCTTTAAAACGGCATAGTAGGCTCATATATGTGTTATCAAGGCTGGACATAAACCAGAAGGAGCAATTTCTCTAAACAAGCCGCCTTGGCAATCTTCCTTCCACAAACCCACTTTGGAGACAAGTTTTCTGTTGAAAAGAATTCTACAACAGGTCTGCACAATCTTTACTTTTTGATATGAGCACGGTTTACTTAGCCTTCAGCATTATTTAAGGTTCAATAAAAATTTTAGCTTAATGAAATCTCCCTCGTCTTCTCAAGGGCACTGTGAGGACTCCTCATCTGTGGCATCTAACAGGTGGTTGGATTAAGCATTTCCAACTCCCCCTCCTGGTCTCAGAGGCTCTGGAAAAGCATTGCTAGCTACTGAATCCGATCCGGGAATCCCACCCTTGAAGCGCCCTGGAGTCCCCCGGAGCTCCTGATGGACAGGAGGTAGTTTTCTGGGGAGACAGAAAGTGCAGGCGGGTGGAGGCTGGAGTTGAAATAGGAAAGGGAGCTGGAAGCAGCGCCCAGAGCTGGGCGAGGAGGGGAAGGGGACCCAGCATTTGCGCGGTCCGCGGCCCTGCCGACCGCGGGCAGGCGTCTTTGGAACCGAGGTGGCACCACTTACGCAGGACGCGGATGGTCTGTCGGTGGCCTCTCTCCCTCCCTGAGGCGGCTGGGCCTCGCAGCGGCCCCTGGCTGCTCCACAGCTCCCGCCCAATGAGCCCGTAGAGGATGCTGAGGCACAGAAAGGGCAGGAAGAAGTAGGCGGTGGTGACCCACAGCATCACACGTAGCGCGCCCAGCTGTGCTGGGTTCGGCCGGCACTCGCGGCTGAATAGTGCTGCGGCCTCTGCGGCCTCGGGCCCCGACGGCAGGGACAGCGGTGGCACCCGCGAGGGCCAGGGGGGCGGCGACGAGGCGGGAGGCAAGGGGGTGAGTGGCGCCGTGCCATTGAGGTCCGGGACCACGGAGTTGCCGGGGTCCTGCTCTACACCCACCAGGAAGAAGAAGGGCCCCGCGGAGAGCAGTGCCACGGCCCAGAGCGCGGCGATGAGCGCGCGAACGCGGCGCCGAGTGACCAGGACGCGGGCGCGGAGCGGGCGGCAGATGGCCAGGTAGCGCTCTACGCTGAGTGCCGTCATGTGCAGCAGCGTGGCGTAGGTGCAGCCCTCGCCCACGTAGAGCGACAGGCGGCAGAGCAGCGGCCCGAACACCCAGGGCCTCGAGCGCCAGAGGCGGTACAGGTCGAAGGGCAGCCCGAGCAGGATGAATAGGTCGGACACGGCCATGCTGCCCAGGTACAAGTTGGTGGTGGTCCGCATGTCCCGGTAGCGCCCGATCAGCAGCACTGTCACCACGTTGCCGCTCACCCCGACGGCGAACAGGCCCAGGCACACGGCGGTCACTGGCACCAGCGCTCCCAGGGGATAGGGCGAGCAGCGGCGCTCGTCGCAAGGTGGCAGCGCGGCCCACAGCGGCTCCCGCATACCCTCGGTGCCGTCGCTGCCATTCCAGGGGCTGCCCATAGCTTCCCCGCGCGGCCGCGCCCCGGGTGGGGCTGGCAGTCTGGCGCGTGGTCCCGCTCTGTGAGCGCCTCCTTTCCCAGCCCGCGCGCGCTGCAGGCGCGTCGGGTCAGACTGCCGAGCGCTGCTCCTCGGGGCGCGGGAATCAGCTCTGCTGGTGGGCTCCAAGGAGCTCCCGAGCTGGCTGCGCGTAGTCTCCGCCCACGGCCACGGCCCGCCCCAGCCCTGCTCCCGCGCCCTCTCCCGGGTCCGTGCAGTTCCAGGGCATTTCGTTCTTCACCAACTGGAATACCCGGCTCCCGTAGCGCACGAGCCCTGCCCCGTCCGGTGAGCGATGATGTCTGCACTCTAGAGAGCGTTGGTTACTGGCCCCAGCACTGTGCGGGCGCTTTTGTTTGTCCGGTACACAGAAGACCTTCGAAGGGATGTGGGCTGGGTGCTGCCGCATGATGGTGGAGGAGAGCTTACGGTAATTCCCAGAAAGTCATAATGCTAAATAGTAGGAGGGGAGTCTAGACCAGAATCTAGAGCCTCTCCTGTCTAACCCTTGCTCTACAACCGAGTAACTGTGTAATCTTGGGCTAGTTCTGTGCTTGCCCAGCCCAGTTGTCCTCTTCTGTAAATTCGCGAGTGGCGGAGGGAGCTGACCACATAATTGACCAAATAATTTCTTTCTTCCTTTCTTTCTTTTTTTTCTTCTTGAAACAGGGTCTCATTGTCGTCCAGGCTGTAGTGTAAGTAACACGATCACAGCTTACTGCAGCCTTGACCTCCCAGGTTCAAACAATCCTCCCATCTCAGCCTTCTGAGTAGCTGGGAGCACAGGAACGCCCACGGTCGGCTAATTTTTGTATTTTTTTTTTTTTTTTTTTTTTGTAGAGTTGGGGTTTCCGAATGTTGGCCAGGCAGGGCTTGAACTCCTGACCTCAGGTGATCCACCTGCCTCGGCCTCCCAAAGTGCTGGGATTACAGGCATGAGTCATCGTGCCCGCCGTGACCAAATAATTTCAAGGATCCGTGAGCCCGTGAGCATGTTTGCTCATTATAAAGTACAGGACATACATTTACATGGACAGCAGAAGTGCTTTCACATGTGATATGTTGTTCTTATGTACATGTTTTATAAACGTAAAAAACTAAAATTGGGGAAAAGGGCTAAAACAAATGGAAGCGTCTGTTCAGTGTGGTCTTAATAACAATAGTTAACACTTACTGAGAATCTAGATGGATCTGGCCCTGTGCTCTCCATTTAATCCTCATGGCCTGGGGCGCTCCTTTCGCCCCTGAACAAAGCGATCTCACTTGAGATCAAATGGGCAGTAAGAGGCGGGACTGGGATGTGGGCTCTGGTCGGCCTAATCCCGGATCTTGCAAGCCTGACAGCCAACTCACTGCACAGCTCCATCCGCTTGGTGGCTTAAATTCTTAACCTCTTCTCTCGAACATCGTTTCTGGACCTGACACCTGGCTTTGCCTAGGGACAACCATCTCCTGCAGTTCTCTCTCACTTGCAGGCTGTGGACTTGGAGGAGGGACACCTGCCACCTCCCTCATCGCTGCTGTTTCCAGCAGTCCCAAAATTTAGCTTTGAGTGTGACTTCATCGGACCCCGCCCTCTCCAGTGCCTTCCCCCAGGGTCAACCGCAGTCCCCGAGGACTAGGTGCCTGCGCTCTCTTTCAAGCACTGCATCTGCGATGGTGCCATCCCTGGCGAGTCTTGCAATGCCTTGGCCCCTCAGTTTGTTGACCTCCTTTCTACCTATCACCTTGCACTCCACCGGATCTCAGCCGCGCCTGTGGACGGACCTTACGCCTCAGGGTCGCCAGGGCCTGCCAGCCCTCCTCCACCTCCACTTCGGTCAGCCCCCTTTCTGACCTCTTTTTAGGTCTCTTTTTAGCCCGCTCTCTTTTTAGCTCCTTTCCCCTAGCACCTCAGTTCCGGTAAATCCTTCAACCCACTGCGACCTCCATCCGTGGAGGTCCCTTGCCTGCGAGCACTTGCCATCACTCCCACACAGATGCCCTCGCTTCCCTCGCTCTTTTCTCCATTGTCAGCCTCGTCCATCCGCCAAGAGCACCACAGCCTTGGTGAGGCCGAATTCCCTACCTACTCCTTGCGCGTTCTCAAATCGCGCAAATCGTGCTGTTTCACTTGACGGCACCACCGCTAGCGGGGTGCTTGGTTCCTCCGGCCGGGCCCTCCCGACTCTCATCTGACTTCATTCACTCCCCCACCCCCAGGCTACTGCTTTATACCCTCTCCTCTCTTCTCAGACTCCATCTCCACCCCCTGCTTTTCAGCTGGTGACCTTGCACCCTGTTTCTCTGAAAAAAAAGCAGCGGTTTGAAGATAACTGCCACACCCCACACCTCCGCTCTTGCTCCCCTGGGACAGTTGGTGGTACTTGCAGCTGAAGTTGGCTCTGTCCCTCAAGCCTCCTTTCTCCTCTTCCAGGCATCACTGTATCAATTCTCTCTTTCTCTCTCCATTGGTTTTTCTCTTCTGGATCATTTTCATGCAAAACTCCTCAAAATAGTTGCTGTGCTCGCTGTTTCCACTTTTTCTTCCTCCCTGTCTCCTCCCCCTAGGCAGAGAAAATGTAATGTCTTCGTTTATAGTTGATCTGATTTTCCCCTGTGCTCTCAACAAGAGAAATGAATGCTCTAGCCCGGGTAAGGCATGGTCCAGGCGAATCAGTTAACTGGCCCTTCTGGGCAGTGTTCAGCTCTCTCAGACATCGTGCCTTTCCCCAGGGTGGCCCAGGTGTATGGGGAGAGGGGTCAGTGGATTAAAGCTAGAGGAAGCGGTCCTTATGAAGCTTCGTGCAGGCTCCTGGGGTGCCTGGGGCCGACATTCACTAGACTTCATTTCCATGTCCCCTTCCTGCCTGGTTACCAGTGGCTCTGCTAGCCTTGGAGGCAGAGGCCTGTGGCTGGTGAAGAGGTGGCTGCTTTCTTTGACTCGGATGATGCTCCCAGGAGCACTTGACATCTTCCCCATGGCTCTCATGGGCTGCAGATCCCTGAGTCTCTTTTCACTTTTCCCATCTGCTCATGGCCTGATGGGCTACTGCAGCCTCTGCTAAAGGTTCCCTTACTCCTTGACCCACCCACTGTGGTGGCACTGGGGCAGGCTCACCGTGTCTGCAGTCAGTGTCCTGGCTGTTGTGAATTACCTCCATTCAGGTACTCCCTCTCTATTGTATTTTGTCCATATTGATTACTATCAACTGACATACTATTTAATTTACTTAGCTATTTGTTTATTATCTACCTCTGCCTCCCCACATTATGTGCACCAGAAGGCAGGGCTTTAATCTATTGTGTTCATTGCTCTTAGTGTCTGGCACAAAGTGAGAATTTAATAAATATTTGTTAACTTGGAGAATGAATAAGCTTCTGCAGAACCAGGTACCATTGTTTTCTTTACAATTCCTAGCAGTTAAGAACAGTGCTCTGATTGTAGTGGGAGTTCAGTGTATTCACTGATACTCCAGCTTAAGAGAGAATACTGATATGGAGAGGTGGAGACCCAGTGGGCTTTTTTGATAACATTGCTAAGCTGAGGTTCAAACGTAACTTGGCCCTTAGAACGTATCTGAGCCCTTATGATGAATTGGCATTCAATGTTTTAGGAAGGAATGGGACCAAATCTGTTTTCTACTTTGTGTTTCTGTAGACATTTGCCAGCTTCCTGACTTCATAGTTCATCTAACGAGAGGAATAGAAAGTTCTCAGGAGACCAGAAGCATGGGCATCTCTCTTCTCTATTCTGCCCGTGTAACTCACGTGGGGCAAGACTGGGTCTAAGTTTGGCCCATCTATGGCCTGCGTCCCCAGAGGCAAGAGTTTGGTGTCATGAATAGGCTCTTGGTCCCTGGCTGGAGGCCAACATAAAGCTAATGCTTGCTGTGTGCAAAGCACTGTTCCAAGTACTTACATATCTGAATGCATTTAATCCTTCACAGCAGTCCAAGGCAGCAGGTCCTTTTAGTATCCTTATGTTAGAGATGAGAAGAGCAAAGCACAGAGAAGAGACCCCAGGTCACTGGGGTAGCCAGTAAGGGTGGTGCTGTCCACTTCCAGAGTCCACAGGCATAACCACTGTGCTGGGTGGCCTCTTGCTATATAAACCACAGCACCATCAGCTGCAGAGACTGCTAGGTTATGATCTGGATTCTGCTAGGAAAGTGCCTTCCAGTTTGTATTCCAGAAACCAGATTTTATGGGCACATGGAATCTGGAAAGAATCTGGAAGGGTGTGAGGAGCATTAGAATAGATCCATAACTCGTATAATGGTTTACTTGTGGAAACTTGTAAACACTCCACAGGCTTTACACTCTTTTCCCCACATAAGAGCAGGGCATGAAGTTTGTAGAGACAGGGTCTCCCTAGATTGCCCAGGCTGCTCATGAACTCCTGGGCTCAAGTGATCTGTCCTCCTAGGCCTCCCAAAGTACTGGGAGTACAGGTGTGAGCCACTGAGCCCAGCCATTTCATAATGTTTTGAACCAACCTTTTACAATTGGGAAATTTCATGTAAAGTTCCAGATTGACACCTTGGGCCCAGGCAGACCAAATTCTTTAAGAGCTCTCAACGATAGCCATAAAATATTGCTGTAAACCAGGCACATGCCACAGGCTGAAAGGAATGGTAACATCCAGGGAGGTGTGGGAGTTTGAGAAGGAAGCATTGTCTTGCAAAACTGGAAGCTGTGGCAGCTCTGGGCTCATGTTCCCCAAAGGCTGCCACCTGCAGCCTGTAAGCGGGCACCACTCTCCAGGCACCCCACAGCTGTTGCCACACACAAGGTATCTGTGGCTTCACACTCAGCCCTTTCCTCATTCACATGACCCACTAGGCTCCTCTAGACCCCAGATGCCAGGAAATGGTATCTTCTTTAGTAAAATGAAGAAATGGCAAACTGGCCCTGGAAGGGGGGCTCCTGGTGGAGAAGATCAAGACCAGCTATTTCCATCCAGGACCTGACCACCACATTGACCAGGGGCTCAGGCTTTCCTAGGTTTTCTCTTTACACAGCAGGGACACGCAAATTTAGGCAAGACTTTTGTGGAAT